TTATGTCATGTTTTTGTTCCTTTGTTACTCAATTCTTGCCTTTTTTGTGTTAAGTATATATTTTCTAGTATACATTAATTCCTTTTTTTTTACTAATTTTATTTTGAGTTTTTTTCTAGAGGTTGCCTTGAGGATTACAAATAACATTTTAATACAATGTACTTTAGGTTAATGCCAACTTGATTCAAATTGTATATAAAAATGTTGCTGTAGTATAGCTCTGTTCCTCCCCGCCTCCTTTGGGCTCTTACTGACATACAAATTACAGCTTTATACGTAGTAAGTCCATCAACACATTTTTATAATTATTAGTTCATGCAGTTGTCTTTTGAAATAAGCCAGACACAGAAAGAAAAATATTGCATCATGATCTCACTTATATGTGGAATCTAAAAAAAAAAAATAATAAAGGTCAAACATAAAGAGAAGGAGAATAAAACAGTGGTCATCAGGGACTGGGGTGTGGGGGAAGAAATGGGGAGATGTAGGCCAAAGGATACAAAGTAGCAGATATGTAGGATGAACAAGTCTAGAGATCTAATATAACATGAGTACTAACCTTAACAAAATTGTATTGTATTAGGGACTTTTGTTAAATAGATTTTCGCTGCTTTTGTTCCAAAAAGTAACTACGTGAGATGATAGATATGTTAATTTACTACACTATAGTAACCACTTTACTATCTATATATATATATCCCATAGCTATCATGTTGTAAACCTCAAATATACACAATAATATTTATTTTAAAAAAGAAGAAAGGAGTTACTAAAATAAATTTTTACTGTCTTTCATATTTACTTATGCATTTACCTTTACTGGTGTTTTTTATTTTTTATGTGGATTTGAATTACTGTCTATTGTCCTTTTATTCCTCCGTGCGAAATTTTCTTTAGTATTTTTTGTAGGATAGGTCTGCTAGCAATGAATTCTGTGTCTTTGTTTATCTGGGAATGTCCTAATTTCTCCTTCATTTTTGACAATGATAATGTTATACGGAAAGCGTAATTTTGCTTGATTTCCTTAAATGCCTCGATCCAGTAAGTCTCCCAGCCTTTGGAGAGGGCTCTGTTCCTGTGTTGAGACATTATTTCAATGCTCTGCCAGGCAATTTACAACTCTACCTTAGCTTTCACATGATGCTTGTGTAGGACCTCATGATCAGCCAGAGGAGAAAGATTGGGGCTTTTTTAGGTCTTTTCTGAGAATACACCCAATCCTGAACATGTGCGTGGCCTAAAAATTCCCAGGAGTATGTTAGAGCTTTTCAAAGCTCCCTCTAGACAACTAATTCTACAGCTTTTCCTTTTAAGGTTTTGAGCAGCTTCATTTGCCCCAACTCTTATCCCTACCTTAGGCAGCTGTGATTTTTAAACAATTGCAACTGATTAATGTCCCCTGAAAAGGCAGTTCACAGTGAGTGTGCTCTGAGTCAGGTAGAATAAAGAAGGACCCTGTAAGTGGGAGTTTCTAGGGAGCTACCTCACAGGTCAGAGGGTGACAATTCTCTGGGAATGGAGCATTTTGGGTCACTCCAAACCACCAACTGCATTCTCCAGTGGCTACAAGGTTGCTGTTTTTCACGGATACTGTAGTTGTGAGGCTGTTGGCTTTCAGGACTTGTAGTATTCTTACAAGATTCAGCCATTTTTCTTGAATAAACATAAACACTTCTTGGATTTTTGCAAGCTTTTGGTTAATTTCCAGAGTTCTGAAAAGTTGATTTTGATAATTTTGCCAGGGTAACTGCATTTATGTAGGAACAGATTTTCAGAGGATCTTACTGCACCTTTGTGGAAGTCCAGAGCTGAAGGATACCTTTGATTACGTTCAATTTTCACTTTACTCAAGTACTTGAGAACTAAATCTCTTCAGAGATGCAACTCCATCATATGCCACTTTGCCTCAATTCAATTTTACAAGTATTTGTTGCACTTCTATTACTACCTTAGCATTGTACTTGCTACCTGTTTATCAGTTTTCTAAGAAACTTCTTTTTGGTAGTTTAGAACAGGGATGCCAAATCCTGCCTGTGTCTTGGTTATTTTTGTGTGGATTGTCCCCTGACTTAAAAAAAATGGTTTTTACATCTTTAAAGGATTGTAAAAGAAACAAAACTCAAACAAAGAAGAATACTGACAGAGAACTGTATGTGATCAGCAAAAAGAGCCTAAAATATTTATTATCTGGCCTTTCACAGAAAAAGTTTGCCAAACCCTGATTTACAGTGAAGGGATGGTAGGTTGGTGAGAACTGAGTCTATTTGCTGTAGTTGCCTTTGTTGTGTTTTTTAATCATTCAATATTCCTTTGACAGTCCCAAATTATAGTCTCAGAGCTGGAAGAGACTTTACAGATTGTCCATTCCAAAGGCTGCATTTTATTGATGAAGAAACCAAGACTCAAAGACTTGTTCAATATCGTAGTACTAATTAGCCAGGACTAAAACAGCAGGTTTCTGAATATGCTTTACTCCTCTTTCCATACTAAGCTGGTTGAAAGTGTTCCTGCCCCTTCTTTCTCAGCAAAAGGCATTCTTAATGTTAGATAAATAAGTGCTTCTCCTTCCTGTTCTTCTCCCTTTTTCTCATTTCTACTTTTTCCTCTTCTTCAAGGAGATGCTGTGTTCCACATTTTCTTGGACAATCCTCTATCGAAGTTGTTTCCATTATACCAAAGTTGGGGGAGGGTTTCTTAAATAGCCACAGAACTGATCCTATATTTTCCAGTTCTCTTTGGTATCTGACTAATAACATTATGAAAACAGTGGTTTTCAAATTGTGCTCCATCTGGGGAAGGGGAGAAGGACAGAACTGGGTAAGACTCTGCTTTCCCCTCCTCCGGTTCAACCAAAACAAGTACACTTTTATCCGTTGCATGTGTTGGGCTTCCAATGCAAGATTTCATTTGAATAGAGGATTTAAAAGACGAGAGAGGGAGAGAGAGAGAGAGATTGATTTGAAAACTGCTGATTTAGATGGCCATGCATGAAGTCCAAGAGGAATCACAAAGATCTCCCAATAAAGTTCTGGGAGCAATGGGACAAATCAGTGCCATATCACCTCCCTCATCTTCTCAAGACAGAGACAAGACTTGGGGCAGTATTGGAGCCAGTAATCCCAATTTCTGGTGGGAAACAGAAGCATCAGAAAATAGGTTAGAAGTAGGTAGATGTTGTACATTTTTTTCAGTTACCATTTGTTCAGGCCTGGCACTTCTCTGGGAGCCTGAAATGAACCCACGTATGTATCCACAACTTATTTTGACAAAGGTGCAAATGTGAATCAATGGAGGAAAGATAGCCTCTTCAATAAATGGTTCTGGAGTAATTGGATTTCCATAGACCAAAAAAAAAAAAAAAAAAATCAATGATCCTCAACCTAAACCTCATATATTATGCAAAAATGAACTCAAAAATGGATTATAGACAAACAATTCTTATATTTGACAATAAAAGTCAGATCCATAAAAGAAAAAAATGAAAAACTGATAAATTGGATGAATTGAACCTCATCACAAACCAAAGACCACACAAAAGGTATGAAAAGACAAGCTATATACTGGGAGAATATTTGCAACCCACGTATCTAACTAAAGGCTTATTTAGAGAATATAAAAATAGCTCTTAAAGTCAACAGTAAGAAAAAATCGAATTAGGAAATGAACAAAAGATATGAAGAAACATTTCACTGAAGAGGAAATGCAGATGTCGACTAAGCACATGAAAAGATGTTTGACATCATTAGCCATTGGGGAAATACAAATCAAAACCACAGTGAGATATCACTACAAATCCACAAGAATGGCTAAAATAAAAAGTGGTGAAAACCCCAAATACTGGTGAGGATTTGGAGAAACTGAATCACTAATACTTTACTGGTGAGAGGTGAGATGTAAATGGTACAGCTGGTCTAGAAAACAATATGGCAGTCCTTACCAAACTAAACATGCAATTACCATATGACTCAGCAATTATACTCTTGCGTATCTATCTCAGAGAAATGAAAACATATGGAGCTGGAGCCCATTCTCCTAAGTGAAGTATCACAAGAATGGAAAAATAAACACCACATGTACTCACCATCAAATTGGTATTAACTGATCAACACTTAAGTGCACATATAGTAATATCATTCATCAGGTGTTGGGCAGGTGGGGGGGAGGGGATGCATGTATTCACACCTAGTGGGTGCAGTGAACATTGTCTGGGGGATGGGCATGCATGTAGCTCTGACTCTGGTGGGGTGAAGGCAATATATGTAACCTAAACATTTGTACCCCTGTAATATTCTGAAATAAAAAAAAGAAAACATCTGATCACACAAAAACTTGTACATGAATGTTTACAGCAGCTTTATTTGCAATAGCCCCAAACTAGAATCATCTCACATGTGTTTCACCGAGCGAATGATTAAACAAACTGTGGTACGTCTATGCTATAGAATACTACTCAGCAATACAAAGGACCAAACTACTGATACAACTACTTGAATGAATCTCCAGGGAATTATGCTGAATGAAAAAGGGCACTCCCAAAAGGTTATATACTGTATGATTTCATTCATATAACATTATCTAAATGCCAAAATTATAGAGACGGGAACCAGATAATGGGTTGTCAGGGCTTAGGGATGGGAGGGGTAGATGTAGCTATAAAGGGGTAGCACAGGAGGCCCTGTGGAGAGGGGCACAGTTCTGTATCTTGACCGTGGTGATGGTCACACAAATATACACATGATAAAATTGTATAACTACACACACATATGCACACACACAAATGATTGCATGTAAAACTACAAGATGTTATCATTAGGGGAAATTGAGAGAAGGATACCTTGGTACAAGGGTACTTCCCTGTACATTTTTTCAACTTTCTGTGAATCTATAATTATTTCAAAATAAAATTAGAGAAAATATTAACTCAAAAAAACTAAAACAGCCATTCCAGAGCTCAAGATGTCAAGAAAAGGAAAGTTAACTTTGTCTTTCTCGTCTCACAGGACCTGTACCTGCCTCTGTCCTTGGATGACTCAGACTCACTTGGCGATTCCATGTGAAGGAGGAGAGAGTGTTCAGAGTCCAGAGTACAAATCCAAGCTTACCATTACAGTAGGGTACTTCTGCTCAAGTGTCCAACAGGGCTATTGGTGCTTTCAAATTTTTATTTTGTTGTTGTTGTTGTTTTGAAAAACACACTGTAATATGTTGGGTTTATTTTCCTGTGATTTCTCCTCTGGGCCACTGATCCACAGTTACCAATTCTGAGAGATAGATTGATAACCATCCTTTGGGGTAACCTTCCAGGGATGCAAAATGTGCTAGTCCATGACCTTTCTATGGAAAGCTTAGGCACCTGCATTATTTTTGCCCCGTCTCACTTTGCTCATATGCTCTAGTCTTTCTTCTGTGGAGTGCTGTTTACATACATAGCACTTAAAATGTTTATGTGGGGAAAAAAGCTCATTGGCAGATCCAAGAATGACCAACACAAGTGCCCCATGTCTCCCGATCTCAAGGATGCTGGAGGATCCCAGGAGGACAGCAAGGCAGCTCCCCAGCTTTGCTTTTCCCTCCTGATTGAGCCCTGGTTTGTTGTCCAGCACTAGTTCTGGCTGTCAAGGGGGAGAATCACCAGCAACTTGTAATTGTGACACCAGATGCTTAGGACACCGGTGCAGGGCTAGCTAAAAGAGACTAGGCAGAATTGGTAATTACAGCAGACATTTCAGTAGAGTTTATAAAGCACAGATTCCTGGTCAACCTCTCCACTGGGGCAATTTGGAATCAAGAAGCAATTGATAAGAGTTGGGAGTAAGAGACTTATATGCCTGATTCCTCTAGGAGGCTTTCTAACATACCAAGTTGTTACATGAACTGTATGGTATCCATCTATCTCTGTTCTATTGAATGCCTTGTAAACAGCCAACACTGAAAACACTGTGAGAATTTGTTTTCAGGTCTGACACCTTTCAGTCGCTTTTTATAGCAAGAAACCAATATCGTTTTTATAAAAACTCGTGTCTGTATTCAGGAGCAAACTCTTCAGGCTCCTTTTTTATAAACTGGTGATTTTTCTTTTGTCTAAAAAACACATGCAGAAAATTTACCAAAAAAATGCAGAAGACTAATGTAGTTTAGAAAACATGCTGTCACTGCCAAACAGAAACCTCCAGGAGAAAACAAAATGAATAGCAGAGGCCAATTCAATAGAATCAGTTTTTGATAGCTTTTTAACAGTTATACTTGCATTAATAATTTCAATGTGGACCAGACATTCTAATTATATTTTAAATGAAATGTTATGGCATATTTTAAGCAACTCTTTTTTATCTATAATCCTAATATTTCATACTGAAGACACAGAAACCTTTCACTTGTTTTTAACATTTGAAAGTTCTCTTTACTAAGGACTGATCATTTGAAATAGTTCTCAGTCTTTGAGGTACAGGTTCATAACACGGCTTTTTGTCTGTAATCATAGCCCATAATGGTAGAGACAACTAAATTTAAGCGAAAGCCATGCATGCCAATTCTGTGTTTGCTTTTAGCAGATATGAAGATTTCTTCATTTCCTTATAATTGTTCAGATATTTTGAAAGGCGCAGCATTCAAAGCCAACCTGCCGTTTGGCTACTGAATGACTTGCAGTTGTTTCTCCACTCTAAATGGAATGAGCTTGCTCTGTGTGTGTGTGTGTGCACGCGCGTGCGCGCGTGTGTGTGTATGCATTTGCAGTTGCTTCATAACTAGAAAATACTACAGGACACCCTGACATGGATTGGTGGCAACTTGAGGGCATTGCTGATGTGCACTGTGTAGGGGGAAACCCAACGGTGAAAGGGGTACCTCAGATGCCCCTAGATAAGTTTAAGATGTCCTCAGCTACCAGAAACAGTTTTGGTTCAGGAGAAGTGAGATGATAGTAGCACTGGTTTCTGGTTAAATTGGTCATCGAATAACCCAAATCATGAGAATCTCTTTCTGCCCTCCTCCTTTAATTGTAGACCCATTCGAAACTATTAAGAAGCCCATTTTACTCGGCCCCTATTTCTTTCTGGAAGCTCAGGGTTTTCTTAGTGCCTCTCAGAACAATTTTTAGTTTAGAGGGAAAAGGTGGTACTTGGGATTAGGGGGTGGGACTAGAGATTGGTGAGACACCTGTTTTTAAACTTTAGACGAGACCCCCAAAGACTCCACCCATAAACTCTCTCTAGATCTCATTTAGTCCAATACCTTCATTTAAAGATGAGGAAACAAAGCCTGGTAAAATGTATGACCAGAGGAAGAATCTGGATTTCCTCATGTCAAGGCCCCACATTAGCTCTCTGAGCATTTCCTTGATTGTGGCATATGTACCACTAGAGAATACTAAATGGACATATTTTTTTAGAATGAACTTTGAACAATCTTCTATAATAATAAGTACCCTTTCCATATTTCTTGTAATCAATTATAAGGAAATGTTTCTGTACTGCCACTTCAAGGGGGTTTGGTATAGTTCAAAATTCAAGTCTCCAATAATCACATTTTAAATTGGCCCGTTTTCAAGGCAAAAAATATTTTGTGTATAACTGAGCTCCTTCGCCCTGTCATTCATTTCCAATTTTACCCAATCCAATTCCACCACTCAAGTCCCATTGTGTTAACTTCTGCACAGTCAGCAAACATCAAGTCAGCAAGCACTTGCCACCACTCCCTATGCTTCTCCCTCCCTCTTAAACACACACACACACACACACACACACACACACACACACACACACACACTCCATCTGTTGCTTGTTCCTACCTCCTGATTTTTCTTCCCTACGGAAATAGAAATAGGGACAAAGAAGGGGAAAATGTATATATGGGGGCTGGGCTGAACAACTAACTTCATAAGTAGTGTTAACTAGGGGTAAATTGAGAGAAAAGCTCCTTTTCTCTTCACTGTTTTGGAAAGGATAGCCATTAGCATGACTGCTTTGTGTCCTTATGGACTTTAGTATTAGCCTAGATTGAATCATAGAGTTTTCTAGCTGGAAGGAACCTTAATATCACATCATCTACTCCAAATTCCTCATTTTTCAGGCCAGGAAACGAAGACGCAGAGGTAAAGTAATTTCCGCGAGGTCACACAGCTGGCTAGGGGCAGGGCTGGGATTAGAACCCACATCTCCTGGCTCTTATTCCAGGGCTTTTTCCCACTAAATAGTGTTGCCTTCCACTAGGCTCCTGAGAATTCTTTCCCAGGATCATGTTGCATCTTGGAGCCATATGCTGTTGCCCTGATCTCAGCGGGAAATCCACCCAGCAACCTAAAACAGGCCTTTCTCCCTGCATTCACATGGTTCCCATCCACGTGGGTTGCAGATGTCCCTGAAGAGAGGGAGGCATTGAGGACCAATAGGAATAATTGGGTCCCTAGCCCTGTTCATCCATCTGACTCAGGGGATCACTGCCCCATCTCGAGGAGCCTTCTGAATAGACCCCCAAGCTCCTGCCCTGTCCAAACGGAATGGAGGAAGCTCACCTCATGTCATCTCCATGTCGGCCTGGTTAGTCTTTCCAGGCTGAGGGAAATGTTTCTTCTTTCTAGAGCAGGGAAAAGAATAAAGGAAGAATGGAACAATAACTTTGTTCAGCCTGACTTTTTGAGGTGGCTTTTCAGCATTTTTAAAAAATGAATGTGGCTACTGTTCATTGGCAATGATTTCCTTTAAAATATGAGAGTGAGACAAGCCAGAGGAAACAACCTGGTCTTGCTGTGGTTGCCCTCATCCACAATGTCCCCAAAGCCATCCTACCCTGATGGGGAAAATTTCCAGGTCTAAGCAAGGGGCTTTGAGACTAAAATGTACCCTGGCTGATGTTAAACATTAGATCCTTGTGCTTGCACCAAAATAGCAAGCTATGTGCTCTACACACCACACTCATCTTCTTGTGTACATTGCTTCTGTGGCCTTCCATGGCAGAAACCAGGGAAATAAGTTCTGAACACATAGTTTTCCTTGCAACAAGGCTCTTCCTGGGAACTAAAGGGTATTTATTAATTCAATTCTAAGAGACCTCCTTTTGGGCTTACCCCACTCCTCAGGTACTTCTCTCTCCTTCCTGCTTCCCCTCTCCGATCAGAAGTAACAAAGGAAACTTAAAGTGGATGTGTAGCTATCTGAAGAAGGCGAGAAGAGGGTCTGAGCTCTTAGATTCTTTTTAGAATAACCTAGCTGAAGTCTTAGACCAGCAATCCAGTGCTTGCCTCAGACAATATTGTGTCTGTGTGTTCCTAGTCCCTCCCCTCAAATTTAATTCAAATGGCTCTTATTTTTTAGAAAACACGTATCTCTAGGACAGGAGAATAGTCATGCCCGTGTCCCCAAAATGTGCTCCAGCACACTGGTGGGAATGTTCCCAAAGATCAGCCCACCTCAGAAACATCTGCGCCAAGACAAAAGTACTGGGACAGTGTGGTTTGAATGACCTCCTTCATGGTGGTCCAGTTTGCTATGGAAATAAAAGACACTGGATTTTTCTTTTCTTTCTTCCTTTTTTTTTTTTTTTTTTTTGTAAAGGCGATTGGAACCTGTCCTTGACCACATGGGGCCACTTGGACTCATGGCCAGCCCTTGCTCATATATTGCTGTCACTGAATTAAGGGATTTGGCTTTTAGGCTCAGACTGGTTTCGCAAGTAAACTGTCAGTGTTTTGGAGCTCATCTGGGCTTGGGGAGGGGCTGAAGGCCTGTGTTTTGGGATATGGAACCCAGAGAGGGCAAAGGCTGAGGCCTGGCCCAGCCACTGATAATCAGAAGTGATCTAGGACCCCTTTTATAGCAATGAAGCTTTGCAAATGCTAAGCCTCCTGGGTCTCCTAGTATGGAATTTAAAAGCTGTCACTTCTGCCTCTGCTCTAAGAAGAGGACCTCATATGTAGCGCCATCCACTGTTCTGAGTCCATGAAGGTTTTCCTCTTCCTTGCAGGCATGACTACCAGGAGCAAGGATAGTGCATCTTCATCAGGTTTTCTGGCTGTTGGTGGCCCAGATCCAGTCTAGTGCTATTAACACTCAGTGGATTGCCCTTAGTCAGCCCCTAAAAGCTGTGATTATGGACCAAGACAACACAGGTCATTTCTTAAAAATGAATTCCCAATTTTATTCTTCCTCTGGCTAGCAGACCTCACTTCTCTAGGAGACAAAAGGCTGGAGGTTCTCGTTAAATAGCAGCCAAAACACATATGCAGGGAGGAAAATGCATTTCTAACCCTACAGAACACTGACTCCAGCGGGTGACCTACTGTGGGCTGGGGCTGTTAGCAGTTCTCCTAGCTCCTTCCCTGTTCTCTCCTTGAGACTGGAAAACTCCCTCTTCATCAGCCTGTCTTTCAGTATGCCTGGCTGAAGAATATTGTCCCCCAATCCCTTCATGAAAAGGTGCCTTCCCTCTCTGTCTCCCAAACCCTGGTCCCCAGAGTTTGCTTCCATCCCCAAAGGTCTAGTGTGATCTTTACACCCAGCCTCTTGGTGTTGCTTCCTGCTTGTTTCCTCATTAAGGATCTATGCAGCCCTCCCACTTTGGCCTAGCTAGTGTGATGTTGGTTACCACTTGACAAGGCTAACTTTTTATCCCTTAGTTTGTTCGCTTCAACATCCTCTTAAATCAGAAGCATTTTTTTCTTAACTTGAATGCCTGAGATTAGGGGAGTATAGAATTCCCATTGGGAATTAAGGCATCTTCCTGCTCCTGGTTAGAAGGGCCGATTAGTTGGGAGAAGTCAGATGACACAACAGAAATCACCTTGTAAACTAAGGCAAAGTCTTGAAGAAATTGGAATTTCTCATTTCTGGGTTAATGACCTGAGGGAATCAGTGGCTTTTGGCCACTCTACCTCCTGTGTATCTTTTTTCTTTCTCTCTCTAGTTACCTAGATTCTCAGTTTATACTCTGTGTTATCACTCCCTCTTTCCACAGTGCAAACATCCATCCTTTGTCCTGTGTAATTTTCTCTCTCTCTCTCTCTCTCTTATTCTTCTTTTATTTTTTCCTGCCTCCTGTCTAGGTGTTGGGCATATGCCTCCTCTTAGCCTGTGATTTTGCCTTAGGACTGATGAGAAATTATTTCCTGATTCA